CACTCTCCTCAATAATTCATCTCTCTTTTTTCTGCTCTGAAGCACCACTCAGTGTGACTGTCTTAATATGTACCTGGATAGTTAATTAGCGCTGTCACCAAACGGTAAGTCAGTCCTATGAGTAGAATGGAAATGTTACGTAAATGTCACATTAGATGTAAATTACACGTCTGCCTGACAGCTCGTCATCCATTATGTGCCGCAGCTCTTCCATGGAGTTATTATTAGGGGGAGAGCGCCACGTGAGGAATGAATAGAGAGTGAGAATGGGATTCTTTGTGTTCCTGTTCAATGTCTGTATCGCCAAGAGCTGCGCACTAAACAGGAAGACAATAGGCAAAAACTAAAGGGGGGCTCCACTTTTAGCCAGAATTTCTTTTCCCAAAATCCCACAGTCACAAGTTTCTGGTCATTTGTTAAAATCATCCAGCCTATATCATATATTCATGTTCCCAGGACAAGTAGAGAGGGTGAAGATTCTAAAACTTCTTCACCCTAGCAAAAAAAAAGGCTTTAGATACTCTGTGAATCAGGCAATTTACATTGGGGTTGCTAGGCCTGGGTATCATGTCCTGGGTCTACTCCTTGTTGTGTCTGGTCTGCTCTTTGGTGCCCCTCCATACTTTTTTTGGTGTCCCGGTCTTCTGCTCGGTGCCAGGTTGTCCTCCTTTGTTCTTCTGGTCTCCTTCTTAATGCTCTTTCTCTACCCTTAGTACTCCTGATCTTCTCCTTGGGGCCCCTGGTCTTCTCATTGATGTCTTAGTTCTCCTCACTGGTACTCCTGGTGTTCTCCTTTCTGTGCTTGGAGTAATTAATAAGCGCTGTCTTTAGTGTGAAACACATTTACCTGCCAGTCCCCCATTGTATTTCCATTGTCTGTATTGGTTTTATCTTGGTTCAATAAAGTGGATTGTTTGGAGTGCAGCCAATCGGACGTCCTTTGTTCTCATCCTTTCTCTGCTAGTTCTCCTCCTTTGTGCCAAGGTTCTCTTCCATAATGCTCCTGGTTTTCTCATTGGTGCCCTGGTTCTCCTTATTTTCCTGGTTCTCCTCCTTTGTGCTCCTGGTTTTCTCCTTGTTGTTCAGGTTCTCCTCATTGGGACTCCTTCGTGCTGAGGATCCCCTCCTTGGTGCTCTCGGTTTTCTCCTTGGCACATAGGTTCTCCTTGTTTCCCATGTAGCACTACCCCTTTGGGAGTCGCTGAGTTTTGGGTCCACCTATAGTCCTGCATAGCCAAGCAACACACATTTTCCTCAGACCTTGCACACTGGAGACAGTAAACAGTCCTTGAACTGTTTTTTTTGTTTTGTTTTATTAAGCGGTATTGAACTTAGATGGGGTTGAGGGATGTATGGGATGCCCAAGGAAACTACAACTTGAGGACAACTCCTTAGCAACTATGTACAAGTCCACAGTCAACAATTCTCCTCTTGGAGAGCTCTCCAGCCCTCCTGAGGTACCCCACCAGACCCCAGATGAAATGTCCTCTTTACCCAGCTGCCTGGGGGAATCCCTTGGCTCCTTTGCCTGCTTCCCAGGCTGTCCTCTCTCAGGGGACTATTGAGGCTGAGAGATCTTACTTTCCGGCTCCTGCCTGCAGTAGGACCCTCTCTTGGGCTCCCTCCCAGGCTCCACACTCCAGTCTTCACTTCATCTTCCACCCGACACTACTCTCCTCCTTCTGATCAGACTCTCTCATATTTAAGGGCTGTTCTGGCCCCATGCCAAGCCTCCTGCTTGGGAATTGGCCAAGATCCCCTAATTATGCAGATCAGCCCCTCCTCAACACCAACCACTGCCTTCTAGAAACTTCTCAACTTTATAGAGAAGGGGGAGGTATCAGGGAACTCATCTGCAGAGCCTTCAGCCCTGACCAAAAAATGACCTGGCTACTCATCCCAGTCTAACTCATACCAGGGTGCTACTCAGTCTCTAACTAAAAAACTGTCTAGTTCCCCCTAGCTAATTACCCAGGTTCTCTTTTGTGGTCTTCTTCTTGCCTTGATGCCCAGATTCTCCTCCTTGGGGGCTCCTGGTTTCTTCCTTGGCAAGCCGGTTCTCCTTTTTTTGCTCCTGGTCTGCTCCTTGGTGTCCAGGATCTTCTTTTTGGTATTTCTTCTTAGCATTCTAGATCCACTCCTTGATGCCCAGGTCCTCCTCCCTGGAGCTTCTGCTTTTCACCTTGGTGCCCTGGTTCTTCTCTTTGTTGCCCATATTCTTCTTCTGGATTTCCCCTTGGATCCCATGTACTCTGGTACTCCTGATCTCCTTCTTGATACCTTGGGTCAGTGAAGTATGCTCCCTGTCAACAAAACATTTAATTACAGAGTTAAAAAGGGGTAGGTTCAGAGCCATCTAAAACCCACTGTGCACTTAAAACTACTAAAATAATCCTTAATTTTACCTGTTCTATTGACTTGAAATTATTTCAACTAAATGGTGAAATGTAAGAGAAATCTGTTACTTTCCCTGGAAGCTTTGAGAAATTGTAAAACTCTCAGTTTCTCTAAGTTCTTCTCCTGCCCACCAAGTCTACTACACTGATGCTCCTCCCAGCCTGCTCCTGAGCTAACCCAGGTCTCACCTGCACTGTACCCATACCTGCTGTCCTTTCTTCATCTTCCCCCATCTCCTAGCCCTCTCTCTCTCTCTCTTCCTTGTACCCAGTGGTGTATTTAGGTTTTGTGCTGCCCTAGGCAACAAAAAAATCCCCCCCCCCTTTCCCGGCAGAGAGAAAACCTGACACCGACCAACACCCCCCCTCCCCGGAGAGAACCTGACAGTGATCAACAACACCCCTGCTCCATTGCTCCATCCCACCCAAGAGAGCCTTCAAGTAACACCCCCCCCCTCGGAGGGAACCAAACAGTGATTAACAACACCCCTGTTCCATTGCTCCATCCCACCCAAGAGACCCTTCAACTAGCACCCTCCCCTCCCACGGTGTCAGAGAGAAAGACACTCACCTTCACAGCTCTGGACATCCCTGGGAACGACAGTTGGGCTCTGCATACACCATCAAACAGCCCGCAGCCTCTCTTGGATCCCACCTAGTCCCCATGCTGCATATGTCCCTTCTTCCAGGGGGCAGTGCTGCCCCCCTAAAAATTGCCGCCCTAGACAAATGCCTTGTTTGCCTTGTGGTAAATACACCACTGCTTGTACCTCCGATATCAACTCGTCCTTTACCTTCGGTCCTCAAGGCCCCATGCCCTCTGAAGCCCTTTTCAGAAGCAGCTGTGGCAGTTAATTCACAGAATCAATCAATGGCGTCCTAGAGTCAGTTTTATAATCCAGTTTATGAAAGCAAACATGAAGATTACAGGGTTACATGGGACACGGCTGTTACAAAAACAAGAGATAAAGACATTTGCCGATGTACTCAGCGTAAGCGTGAAATATCCCTCTAATCGTATTATGGCAGGCGTTCGATTTGTCATTTTCTAAATGCCCCCTCCTGGTTTTCTCTGTGGAAAATCTCCACCAGTTCTGTATGATTCTTGTCATCAGCGTAACAAAGTGCTAATTAAGTGGTAAATTGTTATTTTATGCCCGAGTTAGCATGTCACATTGATGTGTTAATGCTCGGCGCTGGAGTCAGGGCACTTACATCAGGAAAGGAATTTGTCAGGACGCAGAACAGAGTTCAGCAATTAGACGCATGTGAGTGAGGAAACTACACACATTACATCCATCCGGGGTTTACAGGAGGATAATATATTGTATCTACTCCTTGTTCTAAGGCAGGGATTTCCAGTCTAGACCTACTAGCCAGGCACAAACCTTACTCTCCACCAGTTGCCCCACCCAACTTGCCCAGGTCCGCCTCCAACCCCACCCCTGGCCTGTCTCCCAACCCCGCACCCAGCCCTGCCCCCAACCACGCCCCCTTAAAACTTATGAAATTACATTTTTCTTTAGAATAAAGAGTCTAAATATGAAAAACTGCAATTAAAACATAGCTTTATTTAATGTCAAATCAAACATACCAGCACTAGCTAATAGCAATAGAGTGCAATCAAAATATCACGATTGCCTACAGCTTTAACCCCTTCCTGCCTACCGGGCACTTATACCCCTTCCTGCCTACCGGGCACTTATACCCCTTTCCTGCCTACCGGGCACTTATACCCCCTTCCTGCCCACCGGGCACTTATACCCCCTTCCTGCCTACCAGGCACTTATACCCCTTTCCTGCCTACCTGCCTTTCCTGCCCAGGCACTTATACCCCTTTCCTGCCCACCGGGCACTTATACCCCTTTCCTGCCTACCAGGCACTTATACCTCCTTCCTGCCCACCGGGCCTGATACCCCCTTCCTGGGGCACTTATACCCCCTTCCTGCCCACTGGGACTTATACCCCTTTCCTGCCCTCCTTATACCCCCTTCCTGCCCACTGGGCACTTCCTCCTCCTGCCTACCGGCACTTATACCCCTTTCCTGCCTACAGGGACTTATACCTCCTTCCTGCCCTCCGGGCACTTCTACCTCCTTCCTGCCCACAGGGACTTATACCCCCTTCCATCCCCCAGGGCCAATTTCCAGCTTTCAGCGCTGTCACACTTTGAATGACAATTGCGCGGTCATGCAACACTGTACCCATATGAAATTTTTATCATTTTTTTTATGACAGATAGAGCTTTATTTTGGTGGTATTTAATCACCTCAAGGTTTTTTATTTTTTCTTAAACAAACCAAAAACTACTGAAAATTTTGAAAAAAAATGTTTTTTCTTAGTTTTTGTTATAAAATAAGTGATTTTTCTCCTTCACTGATGTGCGCTAATGAGGCTGCAGTGATGGGCACTGATAGGCTGCACTGATGGACACCGATAGGTGGCACTGATAGGTGGCACTGATGAGGAGGCACTGGTAGGTGGCACTGATGGGCATTGACAGGCATCACTGATGGGCACTGAAAGGCAGCACTGATACATGGCACTGATAGGTGGCACTGATAGGCGGCACCGACTGGCACTGATAGGCAGCACTGACTGGCACTGTTAGGCGGCACTGCTATGCAGCACTGACTGGCACTGATATGCGGCACTGCTAGCAGCACTGACTGGCACTGATATGCGGCACTGCTATGCAGCACTGACTGGCACTGATATGCGGCACTGACTGGCACTGCTAGGCAGCACTGACTGGCACTGATAGATGACACTGACTGGCACTGATGGGTGACACTGAAAGGCAGCTCAGATGGGCACTGATATGTGGCAGTGATGTGCACTGGTAGGCACTGAAATGTGGCACTGATATGTGGCACTGGGCACTGGTAGGTGGCATGGATGAGCACTGACAGCTGGCACTGATGGACACTGGCAGGTGGCACTGCTGGGATTACACAGATCATCGGTGCTCTGATGATCAGTGTACATGTCCCCTCCAAGGAATGCCGATTACCGGCTCTCCTCTCCTCTGTCAGCGTGACAGCTCGAGATGAGAGAAATGCCGATAACCGGCATTTCCCTATTTACATGTGATCAGCTGTGATTGGACACAGCTGATCACATGACCGAGCCGACAACTTCTGCTCTTTCCGTGGATCGGTGATCTGCTGTGTCTGAGGGACACAGAGCACTGCCGATCACCGCGCTGCGCACTCCCAGAGTCACGCATGCGCGGTTGGAATGGGAGGACGTCATATGACATCCTCCCAGAACAAGAGAACCACCTTGTGTCCATCATTGGACTATACGGCGGGCGGGAGGCGGTTGAACCTGCAGTGAACATTTTGTATCTTTTTTGTTTATCTCCTGCATCTTTAAAAAGAGACTTTTTAATATGACAATATGATTTTTGCTAGTGAGCACATATTTTCAGTTATTATTGTAGTTTTTCCTCAAACTGATTTTTGTATCATACTTTTATATTTGTATTATTCATTTATTAAAGTCGTATTTTAGCAGAAAATTATACAAAGAAAATCAATGTGCTCTGGAACAGTAAATAACAAGTGCCTTACAGTTTATTTTGCAGCTCTATGCTCAGAGGTATACTGCAGTATACTAATGCAGGCCATAGACGGGTCGAACATCGGACGATTTAAAAAAAAACAAAAAAGAAAAATCGGCCGTTCGATCGGCCGATGTTACCACCAAAGTTAAAAAAAAACGGCCGATTTTCGACCCGTCTACGGCCGGCATTAACCCCATAACTTCTGTCCCTTGCAGAGACAGGGGAGCACACCATACAAGGAGACAGCAATACAAATACATTATTTGGATACAGATTTTTTATTTGGATACATTTGTTGAAACCGCAAGACTTTTTCATATAAAATATAATAGTGGACTGGACTTCTTTTTCTTCATGATCGGCCGATTTGTCCATCATTGCCGGGAAAACCGGCCGATTGTCAAAATCGGCTGCAAATTTTCCAACATGCCCGATAAAAAAAAAAAAAATGTGCAAAAACCCCGAAAACCGGCCGACCAATTAACCCACTAACGGTGCGAAAATCGGCCGATGTTTTTTTTCGGCTGAAACATCGGCCGATTTTCGAAACCCGTCTATGGGCGGCATAAGGCCACTGAACTCTGTGTGAGGGCAGTGCAGTGGTTTCTCTACAATGATCCCCCAAGGCGATGGAGAGCGGACCTCTCCTCATGTCCCCCGCGGCGGGGGAGAGCGGACCTCTCCTCATGTCCCCCGGGGGAGAGCGTTCCTTGTCCCCCGGTAATCTCTGGTTTTTGGTAAAAAAATCTCAAGAAAATTGTATCATGTATGGTCAGCCTAAGGGGTAGATTTACTAAGATTGGTGCTCCCAAAATCTGGTGCAGCTGTGCGTGGGAGCCAATCAGCTTCAAACTTCAGCTTTTTCAATTAAGCTTTGGCAATAAAACCTGGAAGCTGATTGGTTGCAGAAGTGCACCAGATTTTGCACTCTCCAGCTTGACAACTGTACAGATCTGGGAACTCAGCACAGGGATGGTGGGAACCCCTCATAATGTGCACAGCAGGTGTTCAGACCCAGGAACTCAGCACAGGGATGGTGGGAACCCTTCATAATGGGCACGGCAGGTGTTCAGACCCGGGAACACAGCACAGGGATGGTGGGAACCCCTCATAATGGGCACAGCATGTGTACAGACCCGGGAACTCAGCACAGAAATGGTGGGAACCCCTCATAATGGCACAGCAGGTGTACAGACCCGGGAACTCAGCACAGGGATGGTGGGAACCCCTCATAATGGTCACAGCGGGTGTACAGACCTTGGAACTCAGCACAGGGATGGTGGGAACCCCTCATAATGGGCACATCAGGTGTATAGATCTGGAACCTCAGCACAGGGATGGTGGGAACCCCTCATAATGGGCACAGCGGGTGTACAGACCTGGGAACTCAGCACAGGGATGGTGGGAACCCTTCATAATGTGCACATCAGGTGTACAGACCCGGTAACTCAGCACAGGGATGGTGGGAACCCCTCATAATGGGCACAGCAGGTGTATAGATCTGGAACCTCAGCGCAGAGATCTCCCCAATCACTGGGATATGAGTTTTGTGTGGCCTGGCTCTGATTGGTATTATTAGCTACATTGTGACATACTGTCTATGGAGTCAGCAATACGTGGGATTGGCAGTGAAGTGTCCCTGGAATTGATGTTACAATGTTGGCAGCTTCTCTATTCTAAGCTGTGAGAGGAGAACATGAACATTTAGTGGAGGCGCTGAGGCTGCCCAGGGATCCATAATAAATATTTTTCATCTAGAATCTCATTTCAGAGGCAGAAAGAGTCATGAGGCTCATAGTGAAGCCGCAGGAGAGGAGACGGTGCAGGAGGAAGAAAGTACATTACTGAGAGCGAGATCATTAATAAGGACAGGCCGCGTTCGGCTGGCGGTCTCCTCGCAGCGGTGCCGTTAAGAAGAGAGCCCCATGGGCCCTGAGTCCTGAGAATCGGCGCATTCACAGAACTGACCTTGATGTACAACGAGAGGGAGAGATCATCTTTATCCTCAGATGCCGGAGAAGATAAAGAGCTGAAAATTCACTTCATAGTCAAAATCAATCTTTGGCCTTTTCAGCATAAAGATTTGCTGGCAACGAGAGGCTAATGCAGGATTTACAGAGAGAATCATTTTATATCACCAATTACAAATAGTACATATTTTATATTGTATATTATATTCCGGAATGAGATATATTCCTCCGGAGCCTGCCAGATTTCAGGATTACAGAGGAACTAACGTTATGTTAGTTATATATGTCAGAGAAATCAACTTAAAGGGCTCTATTGAAAATAAATATGCATATCAATTCACCCAATGAAAGTACATGTACATTTCTGCTGTATAGATATGTAGTACCCTCTTGGTCAGCTAGGGGGGGCTAGATTTTAATTGTTAGGAGGGCTGAGTAGCAGCCTGGGTGTGATAGCTAGCAGGGTCAAATTAAGTTCAGAGCTGAGACCAGCTCTCTTGGATTTCCCCCTGCTCTAGAATTTTGGAGAAATATCTAGAAGCAGTGGGCGGAGGTGAGGAGTGGCTGGTCTGTACTCTTAGAGGATCCTGGCCAATCCCCAACAGGAGGCTTGCCAAGGGGCCAGGACAGCCTTTAAGAGTAACTGATCCTGCTCAGCAGCAGGAGAGTTGGAGGAGAGTAAGGGTGGAAGTTGGAGATGAAGAAGTGAGGCTGGAGAAAGATCTAGAAGCAGTGGGCAGAGGTGAGGAGTGGCTGTTCTATACTCTTAGAGGATCCTAGCCAATCCCCAACAGGAGGCTTGCCAAGGGGCCAGGACAGCCTTTAAGAGTAACTGATCCTGCTCAGCAGCAGGAGAGTTGGAGGAGAGTAAGGGTGGAAGTTGGAGATAAAGAAGTGAGGCTGGAGAAAGATCTAGAAGCAGTGGGCAGAGGTGAGGAGTGGCTGGTCTATACTCTTAGAGGATCCTAGCCAATCCCCAACAGGAGGCTTGCCAAGGGGCCAGGACAGCCTTTAAGAGTAACTGATCCTGCTCAGAAGCAGGAGAGTTGGAGGAGAGTACGGGTGGAAGTTGGAGATAAAGAAGTGAGGCTGGAGAAAGATCTAGAAGCAGTGGGCGGAGGTGAGAGTGGCTGGTCTGTACTCTTGGAGGATCCTGGCCAATCCCCAACAGGAGGCTTGCCAAGGGGCCAGGGCAGCCTTTAAGAGTAACTGATCCTGCTCAGCAGCAGAAGAGTTGGAGGAGAGTACAGGTGGAAGTTGGAGATGAAGAAGTGAGGCTGGAGAAAGATCTACAAGCAGTGGGCAGAGGTGAGGAGTGGCTGGTCTATACTCTTAGAGGATCCTGGTCAATCCCCAACAGGAGGCTTGCCAAGGGGCCAGGACAGCCTTTAAGAGTAACTGATCCTACTCAGAAGCAGGAGAGTTGGAGAGTATGGGTGGAAGTTGGAGATGAAGAAGTGAGGCTGGAGAGCAGGAGCCTGGGAGGGGGCCCAGAGGGAGAGTGAATGCCACCCATGTAGCCAGGAAGGAGCAGCCCATGTAAAAGGCCTGGCAGCAGTCACTGACCCACCAGCAGCACAGGAGAAGGACTGAGTGAGTAGACCTTCACCCCCTGGGCCAGATAGGGGAAGGAGGCACTCTGGTGGGAAGCTGTATAAGGCTGGCCATACATTACACAATGACACTTTCAATTGTATCCAATTAGGCAGGCCCTTGTGGTATATAGTTGAAGGTAGACCTAAATTAAATTGGGCAGAATGTGGACAGAAAATTGTAAGAAAATTGTATAGTGTATGGCCAGCCGTAGCCTGCCACCCAGGACTGTTTCACTATTTATGTGGCAGACACCAGATGCCCTGCTCAGGGATTTACCCAGAACAGCTGGATAAGGAAAATTTAGGTTCTGGGGAGGTACTGCAGGAGATGTTGGCTAGCTCTCCAGAAGAAACTTTTGCTGTAACCATTGTACATAGTTCAGGAAGTTGTCCTTGGTTTCTCAGTTCCATTGAGCATCCTGTAAACCCCTTACTCTATCCAAGTTAAAATCCCTCTAATGAAAATCCAAAAAACAAGCTCAAGGACTGGTTACTGATTCTTGAATGCAAGTCAGTGTGGAAATGCATGATGCCTGGCAGTGCAGAACTATAGGGGGACCCAAAACTTCAGCAACTCCTAAGGGGGTGGTGCTACAAATAGAACAGAAAAACAAATGTTGCTAGGGTATTTCTTGTACTGGTCGAATGTTTTTCATTGATTTATAACAGAAAACACCACATTTGGCCACTAGATGGCTCTAAGTATCATAGGAAATTCCTATGATACTTAGTGCCATCTAGCGACCAGATGCAGTATTTTACATTTTAAATCAATGGAAAATGGCAAATTGCCATTTTTTAAAAATACACCTCAAATTGTGTGTCTGAAAAATAAGCATAAAAACATTCAGTTTTTTTCTTTCAATAGTTGGTTTTAAAAAAATAACATATTCTCCAGTAGGGATGAGCTGAACTGCCCTGGGTTTGGTTTGAGCAGGGTGCAAACTTCAAGGAAGTACAGACCAAACCTGGACCCTGGACCACACCTGGACCAAACCTGGACCAAACCTGGATTGTGTGTGTGTGTGTGTGTGTGGGGGGGGGGGGCACATGGCTG